CAAAGAGGCTGATTTCCTACCATGTAGATTGAAACGGTTTCGTGATGATCGAGAAACGTATCAAGTATTTCAATCTAGCGGAAGGACAATCAATGATTCATGGAGGTTGGCCGGGAATAACATTGAACGAACAAACAGAAGAAATGAGTTTTGGACAGGAACTACAACATTCAAGATCATTTCCAACGCCGATATCAACAATTTATTGGACAGCGGATCTGACGTGGAGGACAGGGCATCGTGCCAGAACTCCGTAGTCACCTGCACATTTGATGGCAACATGAAAATCATTCCATTAGATGACATGTTTATTGCCCATCAATACAAGTTGAAGCATGAGACCAGAAAGGACAAGGATTGGGATATCAAAATGATATTACATCGAAAGAACGGAACAACATTGACGTATCACTTCCAAAGATCATCATGTGATTTTGTCGGTGAATTTTTCAATGACACTGTGATATGTTTGGAATTGCATGAGATGAAAGATGAGATCCCATGTTTACTACTCATGTGCGCCGAAACACAGAGCATTATGACAAAGATCCATCGCAAAGACCGATTCAAGTTGATGCACATAGTCACCATCACTGAAGACGACAACCTGATGTCAAACTTTGGTAGAGCCAAGTGGCGGAGGTGCATTCGGAGTGCAAGTGACTGCGTATTCTTCGCTGGGCCTTGCACAGGTGGATCTCCGTGGAATCGTTTGAACAAAAAACGTCAGCGATGTCACCGCTCACAACATTCGCATGAAAGCATTGTTGTATTGGGAGCTTTGGGAAGAGTTTGCATTGTGTTTACAGCATGTACATGAGATGTATGCAATGGCATTACTGGAACTACCTCATGGATGCGATTATTGGAACGATGAAAGAATGAAATTCATGATCAATGATACAAACACTACTACTCATGAATTTGATGGTTGCATGTATGGTTTGAAATCACAATTCAAAGATGCAGGCACAGCCATCAAGAAACCTTGGAGGATCGTATCGTGGGGGGTTTCATTCTTTGACTTGCATGAGAAATGTGATGGCTCACATCCACATGGTCCATGTGCAGGTAGAGAAACTCGTGCAACACAGTTATACACGGACAAGATTGTAAGGTATATTATCCGAGGAGTGAAGAATCAAATGTTGTGGAACATTGCAGAAGGGACTAAGCAACCAAAGAAAGTCAATAACAAAATAAGCATTCACAAACCAAGGAACAAAGCATGCACATGCTTATCAAGCATTAATGATGAGGATGAAGACAAAACGAACCAGCATCTTGACCAACTACTACTTGATTGGATTTACCGCCGAGGTGGTTTGAAGGTGAAGCTAAGGCTCAATCCGCAGCGCGGACGGTCTACTGCTGATCCGGATTCCCCTCTGGCTGGTATCGTCGACGCGATGGCAGAGAAGAAGATCGTCATTGTCTCCGCAGCCAAAGGATATGCAGCTTTGAAGAAGACGCTGCAGGTGGTAAACACCAAAGGTCAGGCTGGTCAGTTGCCCAAAGCCTTTTCGACATTCGAAGAAGCCGACAGCAGATTTTACCCTGATCGAGAACTGGAAAATTGGATAACAGTCGTACAGGTTCCACCATCAGTGGTGATTGCATTAGGCTTCGTCGCTGGTAGGATTTACAGAACTCATGTATCTCATGCCATTCATCTTCTCCTGAAATTGATGATGCAAGTGACTGATGAAGATGAGATGAATCTTACCGTGTCTGAGTTTGTGGACAAGGCGTCAACACTGTCAAAGCTAGTTGAACGAGGAGCTCGAGGTGATGACTTCAGCTTCCTAAAATTGCTGTGCACCAAGGAATGTGCAATTAGGGTCGGAGAGTTCTGGGAAATTTTGAAAAGCCAATACTCCGGCACGAACAACATGATCAACAAGACTGTGACAGTGCGGCAACTTAGAGAGAAGATCTCCAACACGAGCATCGTGAATATGGGATCATTGAACCAGTCGCATCCTCCCGGCAACAGTGTTTGCCACAATATCAGGCTGAGATCTGCCTGGTACAACATGACCAAAGTATATTGGGAAAAGTGGGCATTCCATGTTATGGAAAGGAAGATGACCAAGATGCCCGAGATCTAAAGCAGAGCGAAGACGCTCTGGGAGATCGTAGAAGGCGAAGGCGCCAACCTTGGCTACGCACTCCGGCGTCATAACGCCAAGATGCACCAAGCTGGCACTGCTGGTCAATGCATCATTCTCCAGGACGTCTTGGAGGACTGGTTGTCAATGAGGTACGACCTGACCCTCGAAAGAACGGCCGCAGTCATCCATTTGCAGACGATGCTCATGGCATCGGCTATGCTGCACGAATGGGCCGCCAGAATGGAGAATTACGGTGACTTGCATGGCGTCCGAAGGACCATCCAGAACAAGTTGAGGAACGTGAAGGGATCCTTTGACCTTCGAGATGACATCTGGGAGATTGGCGGATACAACATCGCCAGCGCCGACCAGGGATCGTTCGACGCCATTGAGAAGAGGAACCGCACCTTTTCCTGCATCCGTGATTTCCTCACAACTACGTCGGCGAGCCAGGTTGCCCAGGGTGTCACTGAAACTCAATACATCGACAACTGGAGCGTCCCGCTCCTGCCCAAAGATGGTCGATACCCTCCAGCACAAGCAGTTCCTCCGACATGGGACCCACATCCAATCGTGATGATGAATCAGCAGCAGTCGGCGGCTGATGATGAGAGAAGGAGAGCGCAAGCTGGACCTGCACCTTCTCCACCTCCTCCTGAGCCAAAGGCACGTCCAACCCCCACCGGGGGCGGCGCTTCCTCCTCAGCTGGAGCGACTGGGAGTTTTGCAAAACCACCTCCAAAGGCGCGACCAAAACCACCTGATCATCCTCCAGACTGGGTGATCCCAGAGCCGCCTATTGGATACAAGTTGTTTTTCTTATCCTGTCCCGATCACAGAGGAACGATGTTTTCTTCATCGGCATGGATGAACGACAAAGATGCTTTTCTGCTTTCAATCATCCAAGGACCAGCAGCTGCTGGAAGTCATGTTTCAGGCTGGGCACAATATCTGCGTAGGATTACAGCATACGGTTGCATGGTGTTCGGTGTTTGCAACAACAACGTTGTAACAGATGCAGATTCCGCCAAAATCTCTGAGAAAGATTGGTTAAGGTGTTACAGTCATTTAGTGAGAACGTATGGGTTGACCCGTACGGGATGCTACTTGTCGACTGCCGGATTGCTGATGATGCTCGGCAAGAACGACAGATGTAGCACATTTGTCCGGCATGGGGGAGACCGTCAAGAAGATCTGCATCCCGCTTGCTTGCGAGATCGTCGAGAACCCCAGGACGCAAAAGAACTCCGATGTGCTGTCTGGCAAGTTCAGACAGGGATCAACCTTTCTGATCACAGACTTGGATCATCATATCAGTACTTCCACTGGCAGACATGACCTAGGCATGGGGCTGCACGACATGGGATGGAACATCGAACTGTTCAAAATCCACGAATCCGAAGCCGCATAACCTATTGACAAGCTTCGTGAAACTGTCAGCAATGTTATTGAACATTTGAGCCATGGTCTGAACGATATGGGACAGGTAACTGTCCATGTTTGGTTATCATTTCAGTTTTTGCATGATGCCAAACCACCACACAATGTCGTGGTATCGTCATCGTTTCAGAAGGAGTTCATCCAATGCTTGACTGAGCTTGACCAAGCATGATCAAGACCCGTGATCGTTGCCATCAACACCGACTCCCTGTTCAACGGCATGGACTCCATTACCTCCAGGCTTGCCGTTGAGTTGACTGAAAGTCTGAAGAGAGAGGGAGTGATGGTAACCACCGATCAGAGAATGTGGAGATCGATGCACTCGCAATTTGGCAGCCAATTCAAAGAGCTGAGGGCCACACGAAAAGGTACTCTTGGCAAATATGCAATTTGGTCCGTGATCGAGAAGAACCTTTTCAGGCAGCGTGTTTTCCTTATGTGCGCTTCGAACCGGGATCATGTGTCAACCCTCAACGAGGGCGCATATCGACCCAAACATTCTGGCGTGAATGCGGAGATGCTCGCTGATGTCACCGGCGCTACTCAAGTTTTCAGGATTGCAAGCGGTGACATGACCCCGGACGATTATGCCAAAGGCGATGTGCCGATCTACCAAAAGGGCACTTCCACGGCAGGCTCAACGAGTTTAGGGTTTAGGGTTTAGGGTTTAGGGTTTAGGGTTTTAGGGTTTTAGGGTTTTAGGGTTTAGGGTTTTAGGGTTTAGGGTTTAGGGTTTAGGGTTTAGGGTTTAGGGTTTAGGGTTTTAGGGTTTAGGGTTTAGGGTTTAGGGTTTAGGGTTTAGGGTTTAGGGTTTAGGGTTTAGGGTTTAGGGTTTAGGGTTTAGGGTTTAGGGTTTAGGGTTTTTAGGGTTTAGGGTTTTTAGGGTTTAGGGTTTAGGGTTTAGGGTTTAGGGTTTAGGGTTTAGGGTTTAGGGTTTAGGGTTTAGGGTTTAGGGTTTAGGGTTTAGGGTTTAGGGTTTAGGGTTTAGGGTTTAGGGTTTAGGGTTTAGGGTTTAGGGTTCAGGGTTTAGGGTTTAGGGTTTAGG